ACGCAGAAGGTGGTGCTTGTATGGAATGAGCTGCGAGATGAAGTAGTGGAGATGGATACAATTACAACATTCAAAAGGCATCTACATGGGTAGATAAATAGGAAGGATTTAGAGGGATATGGGCCAAATGCTACTTGGCTGGAGTGGCTGTTGGACTGAAGGGTCTGTTTCCGTGCTGTACAGCTCCATGGATTAATGACTCTATCACTCTATGTTAAGTGAAACAGACTGATCATTGAATAGATCATAGATCATAGAATCCCTACAGTGTGGAAACAGGCCATTTGGCCCAACAAGCCCACACCGACCCTCAGAGCATCCCAACCAAACCCATCCCCCTATAACTGATCTAATCCACAAATCCCTGAACACTATGGGCAATTTAGCATGGCCAATCCACCTAACCCGCACATCTTTGGTCTATGGGAGGAAACCAGAGCACCCGGAGGAAACCCACACAGACACAGGGAGAATGTGCAAACTCCACACAGACAGTCGCCCGAGGGTGGAATTGAACCCAGTGCTGGAGGCAGCAGTGCTAACCACTGAGCCACCGTGCTGCCCCGACTGGATAGATTTCCTTCAGTTGGGGAGTCTAGAAATTAGAACCTGCCCTCATATGAGCAAAATTAGGAAGTACTTCTTCATGCAAAAGGCATTAGAGTTTGGAACTTTCCACTGCAAATGGCACTTGATTCTAGATTAATTGTTAATTTTAAATTTGAGATTCATAGATTTTTGTTTTCTAGGGATATTAAGGAATTTGAGTCAAAACTGGGTACATGGAGATAGGTTGCAGATCACCCATAATCTCAGGTAGAAAAGGCGCAGGCTATGTGTCCCACCCTGTTCCCAGGTTCTTTCACACACAGGTACAAACAACTGAATGATACAGACTAAAAGTAAAAGTTACAGAATAGGATAATTCTAGATAAACAAAACCATATCTAAATTTTAAAAAAAGAGTTTCAATATCCATATCAAAAACCTTGTATACAACATGCACTTCCAATAAATATCACATTTACTTCCACAGCGCCAGGGACCCAGGTTTGAGTCCAGCCTCGGGTGACTGACTGTGCGGAGTTTGCATATTCTGCCTGTGTCTGTGTGGGTTTCCACCAGGTGCTCCAGTTTCCTCCCACAGTCCGAAGACGTGCAGGTCAAGTGATTTGGCCATGCTAATTGCTCATAGTGTCTAGGGATGAGTAAATTAGGTGGATTAGCTGTGGGAAATGCACGGTTACAGGGATGAGTCTGGATGTGATGCTCTTTGCAAAGTTGGTATGGACTTGTTGGGCCAAATGTTTCCACACTGTATGAATTCCAAGGAGCTCTACTTGTACTTTTGTCTGTGGAATACTCTTTCCCAGACAGCAATGGAAGCATGATCATTCAATATGTTTAAGGCTGAGTTACAGAGATTGTTGATTGACAAGGGAACCAAGGTTTATAGAAGATAAATAGTCAAGTAGAGTTGATGCATAAGCAGATCAGCCATGATCTTATCAAATGCAGAACAGCACAAGGGGATGAATAGCCTACTCCTGCTCGTAATTCATACGTTTATGTCTATGTATACTTATGTCTCCTTTTCTTGTTGAATTTTGTTGTCAATACCTTTACTCATATATAACAAAGTATAATCTGACAGCAAATGAGTCACCATATAATAGGACGGAAGTGATTGTACTAGAAAGAGGAGATTTACCAGTATGCTGTCTGGGCTGGAGGGGCTGAGGTATGAGGAATGATTGGATAGGTTAGGGTTGTTTTCCATGCAACGGCAAAGGTTGAGGCAGAACTTGATGGAGAAGTATAAGATGATAAGGGGCATAGATACAGTAAATAGGAAGGCGCTTTCATCCATTAATGGAAGGGTCAATAAACTAGGGGCATAGATTCAAGGTAAGAGGTAGAAGGATAAGAGGAAAATGGAGTTTTTTTTAATGAGGATCCTGAGAGTCTCAAACTCACTGCCTGAAAGATTTGTTGAGTCATATATAAACTGGGAAAAAATATTGATAATAATACCCTCAATGGAAAGTCCATAGAGATTTCTGAGATAATTTCTTAGAGCAGAAAGTCATACTGGACTTGGTATTGTGAAATTATAGAATCGTACAGTGCAGAAGAGGCCCTTCAGCCCATCGGATCTGCACTGACAAAAACTACTCAAAATCTTCTACACTAGTCCCAGCTTTCCAGTACTTGGTACACAGCCTTGAATGTTATGACATTTCAAATGCTCATCCAAATACTTTTTGAAGATTATGAGGTTTACTGCCTCAACTATTCCCACCTCCAAGCAATGCATTCCAGATTCTCACCACTTTCTGGGTGAAAAGCTTTTCCTCAAAATCCATTTAAAATTCTGCCTTCCACCTTAAAATTATACCCCCTTTCATTGACCCTTTAACTAAGGAAAATAAACCTTAAGCTTATCGAGTCTCTGTTCATAATTATCCCTGAAAAGTGTGTGGTGATGTACTATGGAAGAAGTAACAGGACATGAGAGTAATCAATAAATGGCAGGACACTAGGAAGTTCAGAGGAACAATGAGATCTTGGAGTGTTCAATCCACCCCAGGCAACATCCTGATGAATCTCCTCTGCACTCCCTTCAGTGTAATACCATCCTTCCTATAGTGTGGTGTCCAGAGTTTCAAACTAAAGTTTTGTACAGCTCCAACATAACATCCACGCTGTTATAATCTATGCCATGACTGATAAAGGCAAATGTCCTGTATGCCTTCCTAATTAACCTATTAACCTGTTCTAATATTGTCAGGGAAATGTGGACTCCTTATTAAATTCCATCTGTCACTGAAATGCCTATTTGACCAATCCATTTATATCCTCCTATTTATATCACTGTCAACCCACCTCCTACATGTTCTTCCATATTATTTATACAAATGGAAAGGCTCTTGTATCAGCATACTGTTTAGTGTCAGTTTGGCTGTATATGACAAAATCCCCTCATGTCAAAAGGTTGTGGATTCAAGTCCTACTCCAGATCTTGGGCATATAGAACCAGTGCAGCCCTGTAATGGCCAGTGCAGGAATGAAGACTGCTGCATTGTTGGAAGTGTTGACTTTCAGATGAGATGTTAAATTGAAGACTCATCTGCTTGTTTTTTTCAGGTGGACACAAAAGCTCACAGTACATTTTGTTTTGAAGAACTGCAGGGAGTCATGACACTATTCCTCAATCAACAAGCTCAAAAAGGTGGCACAGTGGCTCAGTGGTTAGTACTGCTGCCTCACAGCGCCAGGGACCTGGTTTTGATTCCACCCTTGGGTGACTGTGCAGAGTTTGCACATTTTCCCCTAGTCTCCTCCGGGTGCTCCAGTTTCCTCCCACTGTTCAAAGATATGCAGGCTAGGTGGATGAGCCATGGGAGACACAGGGTTACAGTGATGGAGTGGGGTCTGGGTGGGATGCTCCTCAAAAAGTTGGTGTGGGCTGAATGGCTTGCTTCCACACTCTAGGAATTCTATGATTAACTGCTCATTCATCTTATTAGCAGTTATGCAACCTGTCTGTACCTAAATCTGACATCATTATTGCCAGTGAAACATCTCAGAAGTGTTTCAAATGGCTGTAAAGTACTAGCCTGAGGATGTACATAAATACATCATTTGTCTTTTATCTTGTGAAATGAAGACATAAGATTCTGCTACTCCATGACAAATTGCAAAACCTCATTGCACCCTGAATCTTCTGACGAAATGCACAAAATCAGCACATATTATTTTCTCGTGACAACCATTTAATTACTGTATTAATCGTTCAAGGCTGCTGACATGTAGCATTTAAATATTACAAATATCGTAATGAAATTTTAATTACCCTGTTTAGATTCCTGTTTCTATGTTGTTGGATTCATGCATGATTCCAGCAGTCAAGGGAGAACAGGGGAGTGATTTTACCAGAAATATTTTAATCAAAAACTATATCTTATCACCGTAAACGATTTCTTACATCATTCTCTAGGTTTACTGTTTCCCCGGCAACTGGCATGTTAGCAATGTAAATGCGTCTTGTTGTTGTGTAATTGTCAATATCACGTGTTTACAATACAAATTGAACGTATATGTCCTTAAAGTGGATGGAAACTTTACCCACATAAAGTATTTTGGTGGACAGAATGTTCGCCTTCTTTCTGCTCGCATCTTCCTGTCTTTGTACCAATTTATTCCCCTTTCTTTCTCTGTCGCGCCGTAGATTAATCGACCGTTTATAGTCAATGGGCAGAAAATCTAGAGCCATTTCAGAATGAGCAACATTACTCTGAGATCTTCTCACAATGGGTGACCGTTTTATCCCTCGAATGAAAATAAGATGTTCGGGGGAGAATGGGGGATGGAAGGCTGAAGTGGTACGTTGAACCTTCACAACCTGCATGTTAATATCTGTCTGTGTTGTGACTTAAGGAGCCCATTGCCCGTGTGCAAACAGACCCAGGAAGAGATTAGAGACCGTTTTAACGTTTATCTCACGGGTTGTCTGGGGAGGGCTTGGTGGCAGTCCACGATCCTCCCTCGCAGCCAATGTGCAGCTGGATGAAAGAGGCAGAAATGATGTCTTCATAAAATCAGAGAGAACATGAGGCATCCCAAAACGGCATAAATCAGGCAGACAAAGAGAGAGGTGTTGGAAGAAAGGTCTGGCTGAATGAAAACACGCCACTGTCGACGTGATGAATGATCGTTGGCAAGATGTCCAACTTAGCGCTGCAGGTGGAGGTAACTTCTGTGGACAAGTTCCGTTACAAAGGGAGGGTATTCCTACTTATAAATTCACACCTCAATACAAACACATCTGTCGTCAATTGATACCCATTTTACTGCATGAGAGGGGAAACAAAAGCTTGAAGTTTCATTGCTGTCTGTGCGCTGGCGACTGGCTGCAGAGGCGATGTGTAAAGCGGCTGATTGTTCCAACAATAAACCATCCCCGGCACAACACAAAGAACATCGGCAGCAATCCTTACCTTTCCGAAACTCCTTCTGCGATCTTGCTACCTTTTAAAGGTCGCATCATCTTCGTCAGTCGCCCACTCAAATCGACCAGTGCGCTGGCTACGTTTGGAAATAAATATCGCGCCACGAAGAATGAAAACATAACCACATCAAGAGGTTCAGATGCAAAGATTTAGATGCCAAAACCCGCCCCAATGCCCCCGACGTACGCGCACCCCCCGGGGGGGATATACGCAGCTTCCAGGCGCTTGAGATGTTTGTACAAAAGATGTTTCAGCCTTTCATTCTCCTCCCCAATATTTATCAGGCTTCTGGCATCGAAATCGGTAACGTTTAAAGCGCAATTAATTCCAGATCCTGCTTAGTTGCTGAAAATGCAATCATATCAACCATTAAAATGCACACAGGCCAAACTACATCTTACAAATTCTGATCATTAATGATTCTTGGACAATCATAGCATTAGCGGCGCTTTATTCTGATAGTAAAAGCTCGGAGGAATATCAGACCATATCCAAACCATTTCTTTGAGGGATGTTTCTATTTGTACGACAGCTATAAGCCACCTCCAGACTGAGCAGCGCAGAAAATAATGGTGAATATATTCATGGGTATATTGCCTTATTTCATCAAGAAGGAAACTTCAGATTTGATCAATTTGGTATATCAAATGCCTATGAAATAAAAACTGTACAAATAAAATTATTGCCGAATAGTGATATAATATTTAATGTAAGGAAGCTGAAGTAACTTTGACCTTGGTAAAATGTTCTGAGGAAATATGTATAAAGATATAAAGCCAGGTTTAACTATAAAGAATAGATCAAGCATTAAACAATTTTAATCCAAATTATGGAATAGAAGACCATTCAGTTCATTAGATCCATGCATGTGCTGGCCCTTTAATGGGAGACATAATCCCATTTCTCTTTTCTTTCTCATCATTCCTTTTCAAATATTTATAAAGCTCCCTGAGTTATAAGATTATATCAAATCCAAAGCCTCTTTTGTCTTCATGTTTCTGACCTGCAATCTCACCAATCCAAATCTTGCACATCTACATATGTTTGTTTCCCAATTCCATTTGTGATATATACTTCCCTTTTCACTGTTCTTTCTTCAAAGCTATTACTATGTTATTTCACAGAATGTGGATGTTACTGGTTGAGCCAGCATTTATTGCCTATCCTTCATTGTCAGAAGTTGGTGGTGAGCTGCCTTCTTGAACTGGTGCAGTCCACTTATTATAGGTACACCCACTGTTAGGGAGCATGTTTCAGGACTTTGACTCAGCAACATTCAAAGAACAGCAATATATTTCCAAGGCACAATGATAAGTGGCTGGGAGAGGAGCTTGCAGGTGGTGGTGTTTCCCATATTACTCTGCATTGAATTTTATCCACGACCTGCTCAGCTTACCTATGCTGCTAAATTCTTCTGTAACCATCTCCTAGTTGGGCATGCCCAATAATTTGGTATTATAACCAAACTTCAATTACATTAATTTTGTGTTATAATACTGTTCTGAGAATTTCTACATTATGGTCTTTGAAATATTTCAAGCGAGAGCAATGATTAGAACAATTTGAAGAGAATTTTGTAGGATTAGATAGGACACATAGCTCAAAAACACATTGACTGTCTTTTTTGATTTCTAAATGTTCTTCTATTCTGTTCTTCAGTAGGGATTCCGATGTTCTTCTCACCACCAATATTAATGTTAGTGATCAATAATGCATTGCATGTTCTGTCAGCCTTCCTAAACATAGGAATTACGTCAGCTCTCTCTCAGTTTTATGGCACCAACATTTGTTCTAACAAATTATTAAATACACATAGTACTAAAATCCAGTTAGGGACTATTAACATTTAAAGAGAAATCTGAACATGCTTTAACCAATAAAACTACATCACAAGATTTTACATCACTTTTAAACAAAACACAAACCTTATTGTATACAAATTAAACAAAGCAAATGAGATTGAGTTAACGCTGTAATTTATACCCACATATGCTAGGCTTAGGTTTTAGGTTTAATTCTTGCTTCCACCAAGCATTTTCTTATAATACAAATCAAGCTTAAAGTTATTTATTTCTGCAAGAACCACCCACAACTGTGTCACAGTCCTCTGGTGACCAATTCTCCTCAACTACACTTATTATAAGAGATGAAACTTTAATTTGCAATCTTTTGGTGTAGACACCTCACTCACTTGTTCTAAGGTGATTTACAAATATCCATAGAATCCCTGCAGTGTGGAAACAGGCCCTTTAGCCCAACAAGTCCACACCAACCCTTAGAGCATCTCACCCAGACCAATCCCCCTATAACCCCCTTAATCTGCACATCTGTGGACAGTATGGGCAATTTGGCATGACCAATCCACCTAGCCTGCACATCTTTGGACTGTGGGAGGAAACTGAAGCACCTGGAGGAAACCCATACAGACACAGGGAGAATGTGCAAACTCCACACAGACAGTTGCCTGAGGGTGGAATCGAACCTAAGCCCTTGGCACTGTGAGGCAGCAGTGCTAACCACTGAGCTACCGTACTTCTGTGCCATATTTCTCAGCTAATTTGACTGATTGCTTTGTTTTGCCACAATATATTGTGAGGCCACTGTAGATCATTCCATGAGTTTCAAATTAGGCAATCTTCCAGCTTCTGTTCTCTCACAGAATTCAAACTGAGATAAAGCCTCACTCACATTGCATATGGTGCATTATTAAGTTAGTTTATTCTGCTTACAATGCAGTCAATCTAATTGTAATTTACTTTGGCTATCATTTCTCAGTGAGCTGCAAACTGCATACACCCAAGGTGCAACAACTACATGGGTGACTCTGTGTTCCTTTATATAGCCTCAAACAACTTCACTTTACTCAGATGATATTGTTTCCAGACACTAGGTCCAATCTTTGTCTTCTCAGTTTCCACTTTCTGTTCCCCTTTCTGTTTGCATTTTCTGTTTCTGTTTTTAGTTCAGTCATACACTGTTTACATTTCTCCAACCGATGGTATATAGCTTTACCTCTTCTATTCTGATCTTCTAAATGGAATAACCTTCCAGCTTGTTTAGATAGAACTTAAATTCTTAAAACAACCTACATTCTAAAACTGGAGGTATATTCTAAAACATATAAAACATGAACTAGATAATTCACAATAACAGAATGCCTTTACTGTTAGTTCTTCAGATAGTTTAAAATACGTGAATGCAATCTACCCAAATGAGGAGTTTTATCTCCCTTATGATTGCTTCATTTATTCAATATGTGCTTTTTTTAATTTTAAATGCACTTTCCTTATTGCTCATCTCATCATCCAATGCCATGGCTACCTGTTCAAGATGCCTGGTAAATACCAAAGGGAAGTAATTATTCAATATTTCAGCCATCTCTCAGTCATTATCTGTGATATTATTCCATCTATCCCTTAATAACCCTGTTCCTGCCATAACTCACCTTTTCTATTGAATATTGTGCTATTTTGGCTTTTGTTTCTTGATAATTCAATTTCGTGGTTCAAGTTTGCCTTCCTAATTGTTCCTTTTTACTTCTCTTTGAGTATTTTCATATTCTTCATGTCTCTTTCCTAACTCTATTATTCACCTGTGTTTTTTCAAGCATGGAATCACACCATTAAATATTTCACAGTTAGTTTGTTCTTTCCTTTTAGTGGAATAGATTTTTCTTGCACTCTGACGAACATCATTTTAAATGTTTCCTATTGTTATTCTACATTGTTGCTTTCCAATATTGTTTCCCTTTTTATTTTCCCAAGTTCTATTTTCAGTCTTTCGAATCAACTTTACTCCATCTGTCGATCTAATTTTTCTCATAATTACATTCTTTCTTGTCATCATCTTAAGATGTAGTTGATATAGTGCCATATGTCTACAATCAATATAATTTATTAAAAAACATGAAGCTATTCAAATCAACTGGCTATCCTATATAAAGTACAGCATCTATTTTTGCTAAATGTAAATTCTAAATTAATCGTCATCTCTACTGTCAGTCATAATATCAATGTTCATTGCCCAGCTAGTTTGATGGGCCACCACAAAGCATGAACTTTGGTATATTTCATTTTTCGTTCAGGCCTACATTCTAAGGAAAATAAGGTACATATATGAAAATGTTTTTCATGCACGTAGTAAATTACCCTGTGTCACAGAACTCATCAGTGCTTTTGTTTTTTCACAATATTGTACTCGTAAGGTGGAAAAAAGAGCCTAAAAATGTTTGTAGCTTGAAAAACAGCAAATGACAGAATTATACAGCAGCTCTTCCAGAATCCAGAAGAGTTAATACCTGAAAGTAGATGTTTTTTGGAACCGGAAAACAAGAAAAACTTTTAATTAGAGTAAACAAAGTGTATTGTGCTTCGCTGGAACAGTGGAGCTGAAGTAGGATGAGAGCAAGGTAGACTATAAAAATGGCAAGGTTGAAGTCATGCTTGTGGACTGAGAAGAGATGTTCTGCAAAACAGTCACTCCAGTCTGATTTTGGTCTTCCCACTTTAGAGTAGACCGCACTGTGAGCAGTGAATATAGTAGAATAGCTTGAAGGAAATACATGTCAATCAGTACTTCACCTGGAAGAAGCATTTCAAGCCTTGCTCAATGAGGGGAGAGGAAGTAAAAGAGCTAGTGTTACACTTCCTGCTCCAGGCCTGCTTCAGTGTTCCAATGAAGCTCATCCAAGCTGGGAACAATACCTTATTTTCCATGGCAGCACTTTACAGACTTCAGGACTCAACACTGAGTTCAGCAACTTAGAACGTGAACTCTGTCTTCCAGTTAGTTTTCCTCACCTTCCCTTCTGTTCCTTTGCTCCCCCCCACCTTTTCTTTATAGTGTAAAAAAAAATCCATTCTTTCCAACAAAGTCATATCAGACTCAAAATTTTAACTGTTTCTTCCTCCACAGATGCTGCCAGAGTTGTTGTGTTTCTCTAGCATTTTCTGCTTTTGTTTTAGATTTACAGCATCTTCAGTATTTTACTTTTGTTTCGAGATGAGATGAGTTATTGTTATGGTTTCCCTGTTAAAACATCATACTGGCTGTATGGTAAGTGCCAGTAATTTATAAGGATCATTATCAGTTATGTAACACTGCCATGTATGACCTTGAC